GTCATAGGGCTGCAGCCCCCCCCGCGGGGCCCATCCTGGAGCCACCCGTGTGTCCTCGGTGTGGGTGGGATAATCCCTCCTTTCGCGACTCCGACCCCTCGCCGCCCCCAGCCCCACACGCCTCTGTGCCACCCTCCCAGGAGCGCTCCGAGGGTGTCCCCGGGGGTGACAGCGGAGCCCGGCGGGCGCGGGGTCCTTCCCGCGGGTGGAGGGCTCCCTCTCGAGGGCCCCGGGCAGCACTGCCCGGCCCGGGGGCTGAGCTGAGCCCACGCGGGGCCGCGGGCAGGACCTGGAGGGCAGGGGAGAGGAGGGACACAGGGACCACTGAGGAGCCGCAGCGAGGAGAGCATGCGGCCACCAGCGCGGCCTCGGGGCTCCATCAGGGCACTGCAATTTCTTCCAGTCATTAATTAGCGGCTGGATCCGTCCCCTTCAGCGCTGGAAACAGCCCGAGGCGATGGGGCACAGCTGTGGCTTGTCTCACACGCCACGTCCTCAGTACGACACCAAAGGTTGGTTTAGCAGAGGACGAGTCGCTCCCAGCGCGGCGGGGACTCCCCAGTGACCTCCCATGGGGCACTTCCAAGAGATAACGAGCGTCTTGGTGCATTACAAATTCTGGGCACCTGGACCAGGCATTTTGGAGAGCGATGATGTGGAGAAGACACCCTACCCATCTCCCCGTGCATCGTGTTGGCTCTCAGGGCTGCTTCTTGCCCTGAGCAAAACCCAAACTTCATGTAGAATATACACTCAGGACACCTTAATATGGAAGGGACCCAATAAGGATCAAGTCCATCTCCCTGCTCCCCGTAGGAGCCAAGATGCTCCTCCTCCTCCTTCCCAGCTCCGAGGGTCCACGGTCCTGTTCTCTGTCCCCAAGGGGCAGCACAGAATGACCCCTAGCCCGTGGGGAAGGACCTGCTCCGGTGGTGGGTGCGCCCTTCCCGGGGTCCGGGAGAGCCACTCGGCGCTGGGATGTCCCTGTCACAGGCGGGGGGAGAGGAGGGGTCAGGTGGTGGCCGGTGTCCCCACTCGCTGGGTGACATGTCGGAGCGCAGGAATTAGATGCGTGTGCAGGGACGGAGGTGACAGAGCAGCATCGGGGCCCTGCGGGGCTGGGACAGGGGGCCAGGATGGAGGTGACCTGTCCGGGGGACTGTCCCCGCACCGGGGACGCCAGTGACAGGATAGGGACTGACCCCCACACGGGACAGAGCAGCAGAGACAGGGGACACTGCAGTGGTGGCCCTGGGGCTCCTGGTGCCACCTCCTGTGGGCATGTGGTGTCACCCCACCCCCCCCGGGCATTTTGTGTCACCGTCCCTGGGTACTTGGTCACCTGCCAGGGCACTTGGTGTCACCATCCCAGGACACTTGGTCACTTCCGAGGTGCTGGGGCCGGGTCCTGAGCTGGGTCACTGAGCCAAAGGGGAGCGGGGGTCCTGTCCCTGGTGCCGGGGGCGTGTCCCAATGCCAGGGGCGTGTCCCGGTTTCGGGAGTCGTGTCCCAGTGCCGAGGTCGTGTCCCCGGTGCCGTGTCCCGGTGCGGGGGGAGTGTCCCGATCACGAGGGGTGCCCCGGTTTCGAGGGTCGTGTCCCCGGTGTCGGGGGCGTGTCCCGGTGTTGGGGGCGTGTCCTGGTCACGAGGGGCGTCCCCGGTGCCGGGGGCGTGTCCCCGGTGCCGGGTCCGAGGGTCGCGGCGGTTCCCGGTGTCCCCGGGATGGTGCTGCCGTCGGGGGTGCGGGAGCGGGTGGCGGCGGTTCACGGGGGCTCGGCGCTGCCCGAGCGGCTCCGGCTGTACGACGGCTGGGCCACCGACTACGACCAGGTACCCGGGACAGCGGGGCATCGGGGGGGGTGACCGAGGCTGTCCGCGCTCACCGCCGTGTCCCCGCAGGATGTGGCGGCCCTGGAGTACCGCGCACCGCATCTCGCCGCCGCCTCGCTCGCCTTCGCCTTCCCCGCTGCCCCCGCCGGGGCGCGGCTGCTCGACGTGGCCTGTGGCACCGGGCTCGTGGCGCGGGAGGTACCGAGGGGGAATGGGGTGGGATGGGATGGAACTGGGATGAGGGATAACGCCCGTCTGTCCCCGCAGCTCCACCGCCGCGGGTTCCGCTGCCTGCACGGCGTGGACGGCAGCGCGGGGATGCTGGAGCGGGCGCGGAGCACCGGGCTCTACCAGGAGCTGCGGCAGTGTGTCCTGGGCTGGGAGCCGCTGCCCGGGCCCGCAGGTAACGGGGCGGCACCGGGCGGGGGGAGAGCCGGGGGGACCCCGAGGGGTCACCCCTTGTGTCCCCGCCCGCAGGTAACGGGGTGGCACTGGGTGGGGGGAGACACGGGAGGACTCCTCGGTGATGTTCCTCGTGTCTCTGCCCGCAGATAACGGGGTGTCACCGGGTGGAGGGAGCCCCGGGGGACCCCCGGTGACACCCTGTCCGCAGGTAACGGGGTGGCACTGGGCGGGGGGAGCCCCGGGAGGACCCTTCGATGACCCCCCCCTGTCCCTGCAGAGCAGTACGATGCCGTGACGGTGGTGGGGGCTCTGGGCGAGGGGCAGGTGCCGAGCACGGTGCTGCCGGAGCTGCTGCGTGTCACCAAGCCGGGTAAGGGGGGTCTCGGTGTCCCCTCCCCGCCGGGACCCCCGCGGTGGTGGGATGGGGACGCGGAGCCCCGGTGGATGTGGATCTCCGGCTGGGCGCTGGTCCCGTGTCACAGATGGGGTGTGGCTTTGTTCCTGGGGCCTGGGATGGTGATGGCCCGGGGTCCCTGACTCTGCTCGCTGGCAGGTCCGGGCGGTGGGACGAGGCAGGAGTTGGCGGTGGCACTGCTGGTGCGTGACAGCCTGTGCTCAGGCGTGACGTCCTGCCCATTCCCTGCCCACTGCCCTCCCCATCCCCTGCCCACTGCCCTCCTGCCCTGCCCGTTCCCTGTCCGTGCCCTGCCCGTGCCCTGCCCGTCCCCTGCCTACTGTCCTGCCTGTCCCTTGCCCATCCCTGGACAGTATATCCCTTGCCCACTGCCCTCCTGCCCTGCCCATTCCCTGCCCAGTGCCCTGCCCGTCCCCTGTCCCCTGCCCTGCCCGTCCCCTGCCCTCTGTCCTGCCTGTCCCCTGCCCACTGACTCCTGGCAGGCTCTCACTGCCTCCCCTTGTCCCCCACCCTTTCCGAGGGCCTGCCACGCCCAGGGAGGGACACCCAGTGTCAGTGTCACCCGTGCCCTGTCCCACAGGAGGCTTCCTGTGCCTGACGACGAGGAGCAACCCCTCGAACCTGCGGTACAAGCGGGAGCTGGAGGCAGAGCTGGGGAAGCTGGAGCACTGTGGAGCTTGGCAGAAGCTGCTGGCCCAGGAGGTGGAGCACTGGGAGAGGGCCATCTCGGAGGAGGAGAGCACCCGGGGCACTGGCTACATCTCTGGAGTGGTCTACCTCTACCAGAAATGCCCTGTGCCCCCCCTCGAGGAGGAGTGAGAGCTGGCATGGCTCTGGAGGGGGGGTGAACACTTGGCCTCCTGTATAAAATTCAGCCCAGTGACCCCCTCCTGGAGCAGGGCAGCTGCTGGAGGGGGATAACATTTTGAGGGAGTGTCCCCATTCCCTTCCCCGTGTCCTTCTCCCCGAGGTCTGGGCCTAAGGACCTTGTCTGCTCCTCAGCATGGGGAGGCTCTCCTAGTCTCACCAGGGTCTCCTGGGCACCACCATTAGCTCTGACATTCAAGTATTGTCCCCAACACCTCAACCCTCACCGTGACATTTTGCAGACCCACATGGCTGTTCAGAGCCATCTCCTGTCCAGGATGTCTTCTCACTGTGCCCACCTTGGCGCTCGTGGTCAAAATCTGGATCTTTCTTTGTCTTCCACTCCCAGCCCCCCTGGGCTTTACCTGGGGAGTGCTGGAGGTGGATCCCCATCACTGTGTCCTGCAGCCTCCCATCCTCATCCTCCCCAGGGGATAACCCAGTGCACACTGAGGTGCAGGAGACCTCCACATCCAGAGCAGCAGCAGCAGTGCCAAGGTGACACCCAGCTGGAGAGGCTTCCAAGCAGCACATCCACCTTTCATCCCACAACAGCTGCTCAAATCTCTCATTTTCCCAGAGCTTTGTAGTTAATGGTCTGGGTGGGAAATGAGTTTGGAAGGAACTTGGGGAGTTGGTGGCTGCTCCCCACCCAGGAGTCACCCAGCACTGCCTGCCCAGCCTGTTCCCCCAGCCCCTTGCTGTGCTACCTACGCAATTCCTTCTCCACTGATCCCTTGGGAAGTTTTTTATCCAAATCTCTTGCTGGAATATTTGAGGTTTTTTCCCTTTTCCCTTCCCCCAGACCTGTTCCTGCTCATCCTGTTCCCATGGTCCTTGGGAACAAGTTACTTCTTTCCCCTTGGGAGCGTTTCCCAGGTGGGAGGCGGTGGCTGTGTCTGTCCCTGTCCCCCACTCAGGGTATCCTAGATCTCCAACACTCACCCTCCCCATGGCTCCTGCCATCCTTCCACATTGTCCCCCCAGGTCTTGGGGTCCCTGTGCCCATCATGGGTAGCTGCCCTACCACCCTCTCCCCCCGTTTGTCCCCAGCACTGTCCTCTGGGCAGCTGGGGGTCGTGGCTGTCCCCAACCCTGCACTTGGCTGTTCAATAAATCCCCGTCCCCGCTGTCTGCCTGCTGTGTGTTGTTCCTGGAGCAATGGGGCTGTGGAGCCTCTGGGGTGGGTGGCCAGGAGCCTGGGAGTGGGGATTGGGCCTTTCTCTGGGGGCTCAGAGGACCTGGTGTCCCCCCTTGTGCCCCTCTTAGCTCTCAGCATCCTCTCACTGCCTCAGTTTCCCTGCTGTGGGATACCCCAGGAGCACCCTGGCTGGCTACTGCTGCTTTCCCCGTGGGGACATGGGGACGTGCCAGGCACTGAGGCAGCAGCCCTGACCTGGCATCAGGCTGGCAGGGCACAGCACCCCCAGGATATATCACCCTCCTCCCCACACCGCGCCATTCAGAATGAGCCCAGGCAGCCTCGGTGGCACCAGGTTATTTATAGTCCCTGCTCTGGGGAAGGGCACATGCTGGAGGACCATGGTGGGGTGCAGCCAGCATCGGAATGGGGATGGGGATAGGGATAGGGATGGAGATGGGGATGGGCATGGGGAGGGGGATGGGCATGGGGATGGGACAGGGATGAGGGTGGGGATGGGATGGCACAAGGAGGCAGGGCAGGGACAGTGGTGCTCTCTCTTGGTCTGGCACCTGGGCACAAGGGCTCACACGTAGTCCTTCATGGGGTAGCCTGCTGAATCGCAGGTCTTCACCCCTTTGTAATTCTTGGCGTAGGAATCCTGCGGGTATCGGGTTCCCACGCGGCACATGGTAACCCCACCGGCGAGCAAGAGGGCAAAGGCGATGAAGCCGATGTAGATGGCAGCCCCCACCTCCCTACTGACGGCCTCGGGCCCCGTGGGGGTGTAGGTGTTGTTGATGATGTTGCTGGCAGTAAAGGAGACGGCGACGAGGATCAGGATGGAGGCCATGATGAACAGGGAGCCTGACGAAGACATGTACGCGCCCTTGTTGCTGCGGTCGCCGTCCATGCAGCTGGAGAAGGTTCCACGTACGATGGAGATGATGATGCCGATGAAGGCCGCGATGAGGGCGATGACCACCACGGGACGGGCAATTAACAAGTCGGGGGTGATCTCCAGCATGGAGTTGTAATATCTGCACTGTGACTGCCCCGTGCCATCGTTGGAACAGGTCACCCACAGCCCGTCCGAGTAAGACTGGGTCCCTACGTTGTTGGAGCCGAGACAATTTGTCACCCTCCACATGGGCAGGGCACAGGTGAGGATAGTGGCCACCCAGCCCACGACGGCTGCCACCAGCCCACTTGTCTGCACCGACATCGTTTCCATGGTCAGTACCTGCAGGGACAGGGCACAGCTGTCATGGACATGGCCCCAAGTTAGGGGGTTGCTGGAGAGCACAGGCTTTGTCTGCTGTGTCCTGCTCCCCATCGGAGTGGGAACGGCTGCAGGACAGCGTGGGCACTCAGGGGATATGGGGACATGAGTGACATTGGGCAGTGCTGAAGATCAACACAGGGACACAAACGACATGGGGATATGTGTGGCACGGGACATTGCTGCAGGACAGCATGGGGACACGAGTGGCATGGAGACAAGAGTGACATGGGGCACTACTGCAGGACAACATGGGGACATGAGTGACATGTGGCATTGCTGTGGGACAGCATGGGGGCACACAGGTGGCACTGAGGACCCAGGCCCTGAGCAGGCCGATGTGCAGGGGCCCTCATGTGTCACACTGTCCCCTACAATGTCCCCCCAGCACAGGGCAACCTCTGCCATCACCCCTTCTTGGCACATGGCAAGTGTCAGGGAGGCGACGGCTTTTGGGAAGCAGGATGGGGGGCTCACGGTGCCCCTCCTGCCATGCTCCAGAGTGCAGATCCCCCACCCCACACTCACCCCGTATCCTGCTGTGGCAGCAACCCCCCAGTGCCCACCCCATGCCCTGCTCCACCGCTGGTGCTTCAGCCTCCTTGGCCATGAGCATCGCGCTGGGGGGCACAGGCGGGGAAGGCAGCCCTCCCTCCCTGCAGCACCGGCTGCTCCCAGATGGAGTGCAGGTTGCTGCAGTGCTCTTTGGACCCAGGATTTCCTCTCTGAGGTGCTGGGAATGGGTCAGAGCTCAGCTCTGCTCCAATCCCAGCTGTGGAGGGCAGCTCTTTCAGTGATACCGGCTCTTGGCCCCCAGGAGCAGTCCCCATGGGGCAAACCCTGGTGAGGGGCTGTAGGGTCACCACAGACATCACCCCTGGCAGAGGGGTGTCTGTTTAGGCACACACCAGACACACAAACAGCTCCACCACGGTCACACGTGGCTGCTGTGGCCCTGGCTCAGCCCAAACCAGCTCAGCCCAGCACGGAGCAGAGTTCAACCCCGGGTGCCTGTGCCCAGCAGCTGGGACTGGTTGAGTTTTTATGGCCCCGAGCTCAGCGGGGTATCGGTTGTGCCCGGCACACCCTGCAGCACTTGCTGGAGGTTTCACCATCATTTTCCTACCCCAGTTTCGGTTTCTCCTGCCTCTCCTTTCCCGTTGTGTCCCCACTCCTTTCCCAGCACCTTTCATCCCTCGGTGACCTGATGGACACCCAGCACTGGGACCTTGGGCCATGAAAGACCCTTTGGGCCAAAAAAAAGTTAAGGGTGTCATCCTGGGCACCCTTTCCCAGCCAGCAGGACCTGGACCACAAGAGACACCCAAAACAAGGTGCATGACCACCCACACAGGGACAAGCAGTGGCCCCCCAGGGAAAAGCGGTGCCCCCACAGATCCCGAGGCACAGCAGGGATGTTTGCCAGAGCATCACACTCACAGTTCCACCTGGCCACTGCCATTACAGGGCCACAACAATATTTTCCACCGTTCCCGGTCCCAGTGAAAGGAGGGGAGAGTCCTCAAGCCCCAGACCCACATGAGACACCCACAGCCAGGCAGCCAGAGTCAGCCCTCGTCCCCACACCCCCCGAGGTGGGAGGGAAGGATGTTCCCAAGCGCAGGGAGCACTGGCAGTGCCGGAAAGGGAGATAGGCAAAGCACCCTGCACTGCCCACGCCGGCCCCGGGGTGCTCCCAGCCGCGGTTGTGGGGTGGCCCCGGGGCCAGCGCGCCCCGACTCGCCCTCGCCAGCGCCTGCCACCTTCTTCCTGCTCGGGTGGGAAGGTCACACAGGCGTGGGACAGCTCTGGCGTCACCAAGGCACTGTGCCATGGAGACACCCGCTGTCACCCCCGGGGTGGCCCGGGGAGGGAGCGGTGGGGAATGCCAGGGCTGGAACAGGGCGGGTGGGGGTCGTGGGAGGCTCCGGAGAGAAGATTTGGGGGATCTCAAAAGAATGGGGATCTGCAGCACAGGAGCACCGGGTTGTCCCGCTAGCAGGTGTTGGAGAGGGTAAAGAAAAAAAGGCACAGCGGGGTCTGAGCAGCTGCTGTTTAATGCGGGAAGGATGGATGCGGGGCCGGACGGCAGCACAGCCAGGGGGACCGAGAGCCACCCTCTCCCACCCCCGGGCACCCCGCTCAGGGAATGTCGAGCGGGGCGATGGATGGGGTCGGGTCTGAGAGTCGCCCCCCTCCACGCGGGTGCACGGCCCCGCTCGGCTCCCGCCTCCCCGACCGGTTCTCCCAGCCCGGCTGCTGCCTTCCCACTCCCAGGATAATGATGCCCCCGCCCTGGGGAGCTGCCGCGAGAAATCACACTCCGTACGGCCACTCCGAGCCCCGAAAGTAGGTCATAGTCAAAATTTAGGGTACAGGCAGGTGAAAGCCCCTGATAACCCTCGACACCCTGCCAGGGTCCGCAGAGCCACCACGTCCCCATGACCACGTGGGACAAGTTCGCTGTCCCCACCAGCACCGACACCGCCACCCAGCCAGAGGGACTGACAGTCCCGGGGAGCTTCACCCGGTGAGAGCCCCGTGCCACCCGAGGGACGGGCTCTGGGAGCTCTGTCACCACATGGCACACCCCGATACCGAGAGCCAGGAGATGCTCGAGGGGGGCATCGGGCGGCATCTCAGAGAAGATGCCTCTGCTGGATGCTCCGGGAGGGGGGGAACAGGACCCCCGCCGCGGGCAGCCAGGACAGGATCTCCTTGTTCCCTGTCTCAGCTGAGATTAAAGAACCGGCTCCAATCCAGGCAGAACAAAGGCAGCTCTGTCTGCCCTCCCTCGCACTGCCCCGGCGCCCGGCCAGCCCCAGCCCGGCCGGGGGGGCAGGTCGCGGGTCCGGGAGGTCCCAGCTCCCTGCGGTGGCCGGGGGGTCCAGGCGGGAGCGGCGGCTCCTACACGTAGTTGCTGGCTGGCAGCGAGCGGGCGGCCGTGAACTTGGCAGAGTAGGGCTTCTCCCCCCGGGGGGGGCAGGTGCAGCACAGGATCCCCCCCCCCAGCAGCAGCAGAGCAGAGGCCGCCCAGCCAATGTAGAGGGACGAGCCCAGGTCCCGCTTCTGGGAGTCGGCAATCAGCGGGTTGTAGAAGTCCTGGACGATGCTGTTGGCCGACCAAGAGATGGGGACGAGGATGAGGACGCCGGCCACGATGAAGATGATGCCTGAGAGGATCATGACCCTGGCTTTGGCGGTGTCGTCCTCCACACAGTTGGTGCACTTGCCGCCGGCGACGGCGAGCAGGGTGCCCAGGATGGCCAGGACGATGGCCACCACCACCATGGCACGGGCGGCTTGCAGGTCCTGTGGCAGGCCCAGCAGCGAGTCGTACACCTTGCACTGCATCTGCCCCGTGCTCTGCACCACGCAGCTCATCCACAGCCCTTCCCAGATGATCTGGGCCACCACGATGTTGTTCCCCACGAAGGCCGTCTCCCGCCACATGGGCAGCGCGCAGCAGAGGATGGAGGCCAACCAGCCGATGACGGAGAGGGCGATGCCCAGCACCTGCATGCCCATGGAGGCCATGGCTCGCTCCCGGCACCCCTGCCCGCCTCCCGCTGTGCAGTGCCGGCTCCCGGGACCATGGCAGGCATTATATGCCTTTGCCGAGGGAGGAGCGCCGCCACAGCCGCCGTCCTGCCGCCGGCACCGGACGGAGGGGTAAAACCAGTTTCCCGGGATTCCTCCACTTGTATTTCTCCCTCCAGCGCTGACACTTAATATCCCGGTTGCTCCCACGGAGGAGGACACAGGGGACCGGGATCAGGCCACCCAGGCGCAGGAGTGCGTCCCACTGCTGTCTGTGGGTAGGCAGTGCCAAGGGCAGCACTGGGGCTCAGCCTGGGATGCTGAAGGGGAAGAGCCGGTGTCCAGGCACCGGGATGTCTCTGCCATTACCGTCAGTACCTTCTGTTCCATCACCTGGATGGGTTTCTCCACGTTTTCATGCCTCAGTTTTCCCCCAGCTCACGGTCACTGCTCCAGCAGCAGCCCAGTCTCAGGCCCCCCACGGCCCCGTGCTGGGAGAGCAGCACACCGTCCCCCCCGCTGCCGGGCTCCGTGCCCAGCAGGACACAAGCAGCTCTTGTTTGCTCCTTGGCATCCATACCAGCACTTCCCAGCCCTCCATCAGGCCTCGGGCAGGAGGTGTCACCGCCCAGACCCACAAACCGGTTGGAGCAGCTGCTGGTTCCCCAAGGAGGAGAGACGGCACTGCCCGGGGCAAAATGGGGGGCAGACCCCAAACCCGCCCCACCTTGTGCTCCACCACCAGCCAGTGTTCACAGGGCTGCCCTCAGCCCCACATCTGCCCATGTCCTGGTGCCTGCTTGGTGGCTTGGGGCTGTGGGGGGCAGAGGTGGCCTCAAGGTGTCCCAGTGCTGTACCCACTGATCCCAGTGCCAATGCCAACACCAATGCCAACACCAACACCAATACTGATGCTGATGCTTTGGGCACTGCCTGACCTCTCCTCTTTTAATCCATGACTCCCACACATGTCCCCTCCCTACTCCCTCTGAGCCCCTCCGGCACCTGCACAGGTGCTCAACAGACGGCAAGCAAGGACAGACAGACGGACATTGCACTGTTTCATCACCACAGCTTAATCCTGGGCCTCTGGGAAAGATAAGAAGCACTGAGATAATCTTAGTTTTCCTGAGCACTGGGGTTACTGAGATGATCTGATCCCTTGTGCTAATTGCTCGGTGTGATGGGTTCTAGAGCTGCATGGGATGTCCCCGGGCATCGTGTCCCAGTGTGGTGGGACAAGCCAGGTGGTCCATGCACTGCAGTGCCAGGAGGATGCCTGGGGACATCCAGGTCTTGCTGCAGACTCCAACCTGGGGGACGAGTCAGGACCCTGCGCCAGAGGAGCCGCCAAGGCTCCATCCCTCTGTCCTGCTGGAGTGCCCACATTACTCACATACCAGTGTGGCCACCCCGGGGCCAGAGCCTTGTGGTCAAGGGCTCCCTTTAATTTACGAGGTTCCAGGGCATCCCCGCCGGGGCCAGACTCTGCCTGAGGCTTTCACCTCCCAGTCGGGTGCTGTAACCACCACGTAATTTGGGGCTGGAAAGAGGGACACACCCACGTGTGTGTGTGCCTGGCATGGGCCGTGTCCCTGCAGGCACGTGGGGATGTGTCTGTGGGCTGGGGACAAATGACAAAGTGAGGACAAGGACTCCTCCATGCGCGGAGCATCAAACACCTGAGCTGCTCACATTCCCCCTCGAGCCAGAGCAGGCGCCAGCACGGCCTCCCACAGCCAATTACTGTAATTAATGCTGGAACGTGACATATATTCCAGCTGGTGGATGCCATCCAGGGACAACCCCCGTGCCCTGTGCCCTTCCCCACATCTCCCAGTGACGTGCCTGCCCGCCCAGCAGCACCAGCCTTGCGTCCCCACCACTGGCAGCCAGCAGGACTGACAGACACTGGCTTGGCACAGAGTGGAGGAGCAACAGCCACCCCCAGTGCCCATGGAGCCTGAGGATGGTGGTGTAGCACAGGTTGGACCTCCGAGTGCCTCAGCACATGCCATCCAGGACCACCACCCCATGGACATCAGCCCCACATGAGCACTGGTCCCATGGCCGTGTCTCCGTGCCCATTCCCAGTGCATCTTGCAGGATCCCAGTCCCTGGCTTTGTCCCAGTGCCATGGCACAGGCACATGTCCTGGTGGGACCACAGCCCACCTGCCCAGCAGGGAGCTCCTCCACCCCAAAACAGGGTGCTCAGCCCATCCTGAACTTTGGCCATCCAGCACCCGCCCCAGCACCCAGCCAGGTGTGGATGCCCTGCCTCAAATCCAGCAGGATTTGCAGGATGGGGGAGCCCGAGTTCCTGTCCCTGATCCGCTGCACTCCTGCCCCAGCATGTGCATCAGGAGATGCCCTCCAGTGCCTGCTCTGGCTTCACCAGCATGGGGACACACTGCAGTGCCTTGAGGGCCCCCTGGGTAGTTAGGCCATCCCCAGGCAGGGAGGTGGCATTAAACCCAGCGTCACCACGATGCCAGGCACCACCAGGTGCACAGCATAGGCTACACCACCCTGACCTTGCTCAGGGCAGAGGACACCCCACAGGGAGAAGGCTCAGGGCACAAATCTCCTGCCAAAAAGGGCCACCAAGGACACAAGTGACAGTCCCATCTCACACACAGCTGGCACCAGCTCAGCCCTGCACTGAGCCAAGAGACCCTCATTCCCCAGCGCCCGCACATGGACCTACCACCCCGGCTGCTTCAAGGTCCCAAGAAGGCAGGTGACAGTTGCCAGCAAGAGACAATCCACCGGGATCTCTGGCTTTGCATCTGCCAAGCGAGGCATGGTCACCAGCCCTCCCGCTCAGCCCACATGGAGCAGGCAGCCAGGGATTAGTTACCAGCAGCCCAGAGACTGAATGTTCCCAAAAAAACATCCTTGCCCGACATAACCCCCCTCGACCAACTCAAATGTGCACAGTCAGGTTGTTTCTCAGTATGGGAAAGCAAAGCCTTATCGGCTCAGCAGGAGAAGAGCTGTGTGCCGGGACCTGTGGGGTCCCTGCGGGCAGAAACGGGACCTTTGCCCTGAAGTCACTCCAAAAGTCAAAGCTCTGTCCAATTTCTGAGCAACAAGTGGCTCCCGACATGTAAAACACCCCCAAGTGCTGCCGAGGTGCTTGGCGAAGGGATGGGGGAGACGATGACCACGGGTCAGGAAGGAGGATGCGGGCGGTGCAATGGGATCTCCTGGCCGGCGATGCTCGCAGGAAGGGGATGCTGTGGCAAAGCCGATCCCAGCACGGCCCAGCATCCCCCGGGCGAGCCCCCTGCCACATCCCGCTGGCCGGTGCCCCCCAGCCCCCCGTGTGCCGGCACCTCCCTCCCCGCCCCGCCGGCAGACAGAGCTGCCATTGATGCTCGGAGCCGCCTTTACCTGCTCGCCGCCGCGTCGGAGGGGTTCCAACAATGGGTTGCCTGTGTGCCCTGGTCAGCACCGAGACAACAGTCCCGCGCCTGAAATATAAGCGGCCGAGGCAGCACTTACCGCCCCGGCCCCGCTCGCCCGGGGGGGGAACGCGCGGCACTCCCGACCGCAGCGGAGGGGAAACACCCCAAATCCTGCGCCGGCTGCCGCGCACGTGAGTGGGACGCGGCCCCGAGGCTCCCGGGGCTGTTGCTGCCGTCACCTCTTGCTCACTCCCGGGATGATGGGTTCTGGGTGCATGGCAGGAAGGGGATGCTGCACTGGGTGCCCCCCCGTTCCCCATCCTTCTTGCCCCCCCAGGTGTCCTTCCTGCAGTGTGAGCCACCAATCTGGTGATGCTCCCATGATCTTTGGGGTCTGACCTTCATTCGGCGTCTCTGCGTCTGCAGCGGGCAAACCTGTCACCATGTCACCGTTGTGTGACCACAACTGTGGCCACCCCGCTTTGTCCTCATCCCGGGGCACTTGGATACTCCCCATCCCTCCCCAGCTGCGGGGGACAGGGAGGGGGATGCAGCAGGAGGGATGGGTGTGCCCCACAAGCACACTGGCTCCGTTCAGCTCTTTGGTAAACACTATTGATCCAGTTTCCTCACCACAAGAATGTGTCCTGCCAGAGGTGACCGGAACCCTAAAACCCCGGTGATTTGCTCCTTCCCCCACCCTGAGTCAGGTGTCAGTGGCTGCCCCAGGCAGACACAACACTGGACAGAGCCTGTACTTTGGCAATTTGGGATGACAAAGTGTGAGGACGCGGCGCGTGGGGCTGATTGCAGGGTCGGGGGCTGCGGTGCTTTGCTGCCTCATCCCACCCCACTCTGCCCCAGCAGCTCCTACCCCAGGGGTATCCCCACTGCCCCACATACCTGCCTGGAGTATCCACCTCTCCCCCTGCACCACAGCCCTACCAGGGATGACCCCATTGCCCCACACCCCTGTAGGAGGTATCTCCCCTGCCCCACATCCCTACACAGAGTATCCCCCCCACACACACACACACACCTCTACCTGGGGTATCCCCCTTGCCCCATGCCCTTGTATGGAGCATCCCCACTTCCCCACAGACCTGCCTGTGCTATAACCCTGCCCCTACTCCCGAGTACCACAACCCTGCCTGGGGTCCACCTTGCCCCAGAGCCCTGCCTGGGATAAAACCCTGCCCCAGAGCCCTGCCTGTGGTGTAACCCTGTCCTAGAGCCCTGCCTGGGGTACATTTGCACCCCAGAACCCTGCCTGGGGTACCCCTGACCCAAAGTCCTGCTTGGGGCACTCCCTTCCCCCTACCTGGGGTACCCCCTCACCCCACAGCCCTGCCTGGGGTACCCTCTGCCCCAGAGCCCTGCAGCTGTGTGTCTGTGTGGCTGTGGGTGCATGTGCTGGTGTGTCTGCAGCCGTGTGTGTGCTGGGGAGGTGTGAGTACCTGCACTGCCAGCGTGTGCCTGTTCACCTTTGTCACTGTGTCTGTGTGTGTGTGTGTCTGTCCACGTGTCTGTGAGTCTCTGTGTGTCTGGGTGTGTCTGGGTGTGTGTGTCTGTGAGCTTGGCTGTGAGTCTGTGTGTTTGTGTGAGCCTGGCTGTGTGTGTGTCTGTGAGTCTGTCTGTGAGTCTCTGTGTGTATGTGTCTGGGTACAAGTGTCTCTGTGTGTGTGTCTGTGAGCCTGGCTGTGTGTCCATCTTTGTTGCAGCTGTGTGTGTGCCTGTGTGAGTCTCTCTGTGAGTCTGGCTGTGTGTCTGGCTGGCTGTGAGTCTGTGTGTCTGGCTGGCTGTGAGTCTGTGTGTCTGGCTGGCTGTGAGTCTGTGTGGCTGTGAGTTTCTGTGTGTGTCTGTGTGTCTCGGTGTGTGTGTGTCTGTCAGTCTGTGTCTGTGAGTTTGGCTGTGAGTCTCTGTGTATCTGGCTGCATGTCTGTGTGTCTGTGAGTCTGTGTGTGTGTGTGTGTGCCTGTCTGTGAGTCTCTCTGTGAGTGTGTCTGTGAGTCTCTGTGTCTGTGAGTTTGACTGTGAGTCTCTGTGAGTCTGACTGTGAGTCTGTGAGTCTGTGAGTCTCTGTGAGTCTGCGTGTCTGTGTGTGTGTGTCTATGAGTCTCTGTGTCTGTGAGTCTCTCTGTGAGTGTCTGTGTGTCTGTGCGTGTCTGTGAGTCTGTCTGTGTGTATCTCTGTGTGTGTGGGTCTATCTGTGAGTCTCTCTGTGAGTGTCTGTGTGTCTGTGTGTGTCTGTGAGTCAGTCTGTATGTCTCTGTGTGGGTCTGTCTGTCTGTGAGTCTCTATGTGCCTGTGAGTCTGTGTGCAGCTGCATGTGGGGGTGTCTCTGCCGGCAGAGGGGGTGTGTGTGTCTGTGTCTGTGTGTCTGTGCACACCTGCACCCCAGGGCCGCTGCCACACCCCTGCCTGCACACCTGGGGGGCCCTCAAACAGCCCCGACCCCCCTGTTTGCCACTGACACCCTCCTGTGCCCACCATCACCTGCCAGCAGCACTGGGTCATGGATCGGGTCCCCCGAGGGCCAGGACCCCCAGGACCCCCAGCAATGAGGGCACAAAGCTCTGAGGTGCTGCTTGCATGGGCTCCCTCCCAGCAGCACATATGGGGTCACACCTGGCTACCCCCCCAACTGTCTGTGGGGACTTGGGGTCCCCTTGGGGGGGTGATCAGGGTACAGTGGGGTGGCAGAAGCTCACCTAGCCAGATACTGGGGATTTTGGGGATGCCATGGTTTGCCAGAGGCTAATCTGGCTGGATATGGGGTATTGGGGTGTCACGAGGTGGTCAAAGTCAGACACAGGGGGCTGCAAGGAGCTGGAGGCCAACCTGGATGGGTACAGGGTGCTTGGGCAACAGGGGCTGACAACAGCTGACCCAGACAGATATGGGGTGTCAGGGGGCTGTGGGGTGGCCCCACTGGTTGTGGGGGTTCAGGGTGCTGCAGATCAACAGATGGTGATCCCCCAGCTAGAGGGTATTGGGACGCTGTGGGACACCCAAATCCAAACCCCCTGGCTGTGGGGTGTCAGGGTGCTGTGAGGGTACAGCCAGGCAGTTACAGGGCTCCCACCCCCATCCCAGAGCTCCCTCCACAGCACCAGCTGCCAGCATCCCACCGCGCTCTTGAGTAGTTAATAAGTTGCAGAGGAGATTTTTGGAGCAGGCAGGGAACAGGTAGGAGCAAGTCCGTGTCCAGCAACCACATTCCTGGGCAGAGGGGGGGCTGGAAATGCTGGCATTACCCCCAGCATGCAAAGACTGAGGGGGGACACAAGCACCCCCCAGCCATAGGGCTGTGGCTGACACGTCTGAGGGGATTGCTCATGCCTTGGGATGTTTTTCCTTTTGCCACTGCTAGCTCAGGTTGTCGGGGTGACGCTGCCGGGGTGGTTACGTGCATTATCTGCTTCCTTCAAGGCCACGAGACTTGTGCAGGATGAGTAAAGATCATTATCAGTCAGTCAGAGTATCCCTGACAGTGCTCCCGGCCCCGCACGGTGGGAGCAGGAGGGGGCTGGGCGGGGGTAGAACGTGCTCCCATGGTTCCTGCCAGGCCAGGAGCACCCGTGGGTCCCCTGGAACGGGGACACAAACCTCAGGGCACAGCGAAGGGGTTGCACTTTGCACGGTGATGCAAAAGTGCCCCGTGCTCACCGAACCCCAGTTAAACGTGAGCACTGATAACATTCTCCAGAAATCAGCCAAACCCTGACCCGCCAGTACCTCCAGGGAGGAAAGGTGAGCCCTTGGCATTTCCACGTCCCCAGAAAGGGGGTTGGCAGGTCAGAATGAGTCTGGTGGTTGTGTTTCCCGATACCTATCGCCCGAAACCAAGGGGATGGCCGTGGCAGGTGGCGTTTCTCCTCCTCCCGCCCTTCTCTGGTTACTCGTCGCCATCTCTGCAAACAAAGGGGAGGGTGTGGGACGCAGGTGACGGGTGACGGAGGAGCGCAGAGGAGCGTCCAGCAGGCAGCACTGAAACCCCACCCCGGGCCGGCCGTATAAATGCCGCTGCGCACAGGTGAAAGCCGATCCCCACGGGCTGCGAGCGGCGGCGGGTGACGGCGACGGATTCGGTCCGTGGGTTCTTCTTTGCCATCGCTCGGAGCGTGCCACTGAACCGTCCACCATGTCCATGGGGCTGGAGATCGGCGGCGTGGCCTTGTCGGTGCTGGGGTGGTTGTGCAGCATCATCTGTTGCGCGTTGCCCATGTGGAGGGTGACGGCCTTCATCGGCAACAACATCGTGACGGCCCAGATCATCTGGGAAGGGCTGTGGATGAACTGCGTGGTGCAGAGCACGGGGCAGATGCAGTGCAAGGTCTACGACTCCATGCTGGCGCTGCCGCAGGACCTGCAGGCCGCCCGCGCCCTCCTGGTGGTGTCCATCGTCCTGGCCGTCATAGGCTTGATGGTGGCCATCGTGGGCGCCCAGTGCACCCGCTGCGTGGAGGACGAGAGCACCAAGGCCAAGATCACCATCGTGGCCGGCGTCATCTTCCTGCTCTCCGGCGTCATGACCCTCATCCCCGTGTGCTGGTCGGCCAACACCATCATCCGGGATTTCTACAACCCGCTGGTGATCGACGCGCAGAAGCGGGAGCTGGGCACCTCGCTCTATGTGGGCTGGGCGGCCTCCGCGCTCCTGCTGCTGGGGGGGGCCCTGCTCTGCTGCTCCTGCCCCCCCAAAGAGGACAGGTACCCCACGGGCAAGGTGGCCTACTCCGCCCCGCGCTCCGCCGTCACCAGCTACGACAAGAGGAACTATGTCTGAGCCCCCCTCCCCGGGATCCCTCGGCACCCCCCACCCCACCCCACCCCACCCACCCACCCACCCCGGGACCCCCACGGCCCTCGGTGGAGCCCGGGCACGGCAGCGCCGGGGCGGGGGGGCGCGAAGGAGGGGACGGGGCCGGCGGCGGGGTCAGGGCCGGGCTGTGTAAATAGAGACAGTTTCGGTTAAACACGAGGCAGTTTCGGGTCGGCGGGAGAAGCGGCGCCCGGCGAGGCCCCGCCGCGCCGATGGGGCAGGATGGGGGCGGGATGGGGACGGTGCCCCTCCCGGCGTGTCCCCCCCATCGCTGCCGGCCGGGCACCGTCTGTCCCTGTTACGCGTGGTCTGTACCGGTTACATTTGTCAATAAACGTGTCCTGTTTTGGTACCCGAGTGTCCTTGGGGTGTGGGGGCACGGGGAGGGGGGCAGCGGGCTACAGGCCCCCCAAAGGGACACCCTACACACCTTCCAAGGGCAGTACCGGGACGGCACCGGGGTGGGGACTGGAGGGGGCTCAACCGCACCCCTCTCCCCCCGCCCCGGGGGTCTCTGCTCGGGTGGCAGGGGTGGCGGGGGGGGGCACACCCGTTACCCCACTGCGGTCGGGAGGCATTGCCGGAGCCGCTGGATGCCTCGGGGCCACTCCCTGCCCGCCGGTCCAAAGTCTGGGTCCCCTGGGGAGCCGCGGGGCGCTCCCCCCCGCCCGGGGAGCCGCGCTGGGGCGAGGCCGCCCTGCCCGGCCGCTCCCCGCGCCCTCCGCCACGCTCGGCCGGGCAGGGACAAAGGGGCAGGAGCCGGCGCGGCAGCGCTGCCGGACGCCGGCAGGCGCGGGTGCCGCCGTGCCCGCGGGCTGGAGGGCGGCCCTGGGGCCCGCCCGGCTCTCCCGGTGCCCACCCCGGGGCGCTCCCCCCGCTCCTGCTCCGGGGGGCGGCGGCCCCGCCGTGACCTTCCCGCGCCCGCAGCGCCGCCCCCCGCCGCTGGGGGGCGCCAGAGCCGCGGGGCGGGGCCGGAGGCGGGGCCGCCCACGAGCACCGCCTCAGGGCCCGCGCGCCGCCGCTGCCGCCGCCGCCATGATGCTCCGCCGGCTGCCCCGCGCCCCCGCCCCGCCCCGCCCGCCGCCCACCGCCGCCGCCCGCTCCCTGGGCACGTAAGGAAGGGCACGGCTGTGCGCGGGGCGGGGGCGGCGGGAGCGCTGCCGGGAAGGGTCCCGGGGAGGGTCCCGGGAGGGGTCGCGGGAGGAGCGGCGGGACCGCCAGACGGGCCCTCGCCACGCCCCCCTTTCCGCAAGCCACGCCCCTGCGTTGTCGTGCCCCTCACGGCGCGGCGGGTCTGGCCACGCCCCCGAGTGTGACCACGCCCTCTGACTGCGCCCTCCTGTTGTGGCCACGCCTCCTTCCCCCCCTCCCGCCCGCACCCCGGGCCCTCCCTGATACATTTTAATATATTTTTATATATTTGACATTATGTGGTGGCTCGAGACTCAAAGAATCCCAGGATGGGTCAGGCTGGAAGGCACCACAGTTGGACATCTGCTCCCACCTCCCTTGCTCAGGCAGGGCCAGCCCAGAGCACAGGGCACAGGATTGTGTCCAGAGGGCTCTGGAATATCCCCAGGGAGGAGACTCCAGCCCCTCCCTGGGCAGCCTGTTCAGAGCTGGGTCACTGCCCAGGGAAGAAGTTCTTCCTCCTGTCCAGCTGGAGCTTCCTGGGCATCAGTTCCTGCCCGTTCCTCCTGTGCCATTGCTGGGCCCCCCGAGCAGAGCCTGGGCCATCCTCTGCCCCCTCCCTGCAGCCCCTGACACACGGTGGGAGGGCCCCTCTCAGGCTCTGCTCTGGAGGCTGAACAGCCCCAGCTCCCTCAGCCTTTGCTGCTCAGGGAGATGCTCCAGTGCCCTCCTCATCCTCACAGCCTGCGCTGGCCCCGCTGCAGGAGCTCCCTGGCCCTGCTGTGCTGAGGAGCCAGACCTGCCAGGGCTAGGCAGAGGGGCAGGGCTCATCCCTCTATCCCCCACACCCCTGGCCATGCCCCCACGCCCCTCTCTCCCCCCACAGCGCGGTGCCCCTGGCCCACGTGGTGCTGGAGGGTCGCAGGGACCGGCCGCCCCTGGTCCTGCTCCACGGGCTCTTTGGCAGCCACGGCAACTTCCAGACGGTGGCCAAGACGCTGGTACGACGTGGGAGTGGCAAGGTGAGACCCAAGGGGGCCCCCCCCGAGGAGGGGCACAGTGGGCAGTGCCCACAGGGTGACACGGTGCCCCTGCCCAGGCAGGTGCTGACAGTGGACGCCCGGAACCACGGCGGGAGCCCCCACAGCCCTGAGATGACATATGAGGCCATGAGCCTGGATGTGCAGCACCTCCTGAGCCGCCTGGGCATCGCCAAGTGCATCCTGCTGGGACATAGCATGGGCGGCAAGACTGCCATGACGTTGGCCTTGCAGCGGGTCAGCAGGCACGGGGCTCTGGGGTCAGGGGGAGCAGGCTCGGGGGGCTCCTGGGGGTGTTGTAGGAAGGGGGTGGCACCCTTTGGGGGTGTTCATCAGTGCCAGCCTTGTCCCCAGCCCCACAGGGCCTTGTCTCCATCAGGGTGGGGTGCAGGAGCAAGTCCATGTTCACCAGCCCAAAGCTCTGCCCCGTCCCTCCAACACCAATGGAGAGGGAGCTTGGAGATCTCTGCCAAGCAGAGGGACTCTGGGAAGGGCACATGGAGGTCTCTGCTGAAGCAGGAGGGAGCAAAGAGCCTCCAGGAAGTCTGACTGGGAGCAGAGCCCTGTGCCCCCTCCCACAGGGGAGATCTTGGGACATCCTGGCATGGATGTGCCCTGCTTGTGTCCCCAGCCAGACCTGGTGGAGCGCCTCATCTCTGTGGACATTGGTCCCAGCTCGACCGCCCCCGTGTCCGAATTCTCTGCCTACATCTCTGCCATGAAGGAGGTGAAGGTCCCAGCTGGCCTGTCCCGCTCTGCAGCCCGACAGCTGGCTGATGACCAGCTGCAGCCTGTGGTCAAGGTAGGAAATCCCGAGGGAGATGGAGGTGGAGGTGCCAGAACATCCAGGTTTGTTACTGAACAGTGCACCGTCCCCTTCCGTGGCAGCTCCCACAGCTCAGACAGTTCCTCCTCACCAACCTGGTGGAGGCGGAGGGCCGCTACGTGTGGAGGGTGAACCTGGAGGCTATTTCCCGGCACCTGGAAGATATCATGAATTTCCCTGTCTTCCACAAGCCGTATCCTGGCCCCACACTCTTCCTGGGAGGGTCTGACTCGCCCTATATCAGGTGGGACTGGAGAGAAGCGGTTCCAAGTCTGTGGTTTGACCCCTTGTGCTCTTTGCAGCTGCTGAGGTTGGGGAGGAAGCCCCCGGGGTGGGGGAGGCCCTGAGCGAGGTCTGTGCCTCCAGCAGCGACACTGATGCTGGAGTGAGGGGGAACCTGGGGAGGGGACGTGCTCAGACCTGGGATCACCTTCTGTGTGGGGAAGGGGAGGGAAGACACCAGGAGGGACCTCTAACCGTGGCACGTTCCCTTGTCCTGCAGCTCCAGAGACTATCCGGAGATCCAGCGCCTCTTCCCCAAGGCGGAGATCCAGTACATCAAAGGTGCAGGGCACATAGTCCATCAGGATAAATTCGAAGAATTCATCACTGCTGTCCTCAATTTCCTGCCACAGGTGTAGCACTGGGGACCAGGATTTCTGCAAGGACCATGTGGGTCCTGAGGAGCTCTGGGCAGTGACACAGGGCTTGGGGCTCTGTGAGGAAGGGCTCAGCTGGGACTGGCTGCTCTCAGTGCAGTCTGATCCTGCCTGCAAGGCTCTCCCATCCTGGTTCTCCTGCAGCCAGAGTGGAGAGGGAACTCCATCCCACTGATCTCCCCTGCCACCTCGCAGGGACACAGGGTGGCACCAGCCCAGGACACCGTCCTGCCTGCGCTGGAGCGTTGGGCACTCGGAGGGGGCAGGAGAGCCCTCTCGTTTTCCTGCTGCCAGACCCACCCGTGGATCTGGCTGTGACTTTGCAGAACGTGCAATAAAGCTGAATCGGTGCCAAGGCACAACAGGATTTGGATGTGGCTGTGGAGGGCAGGGAGGGTGTGGGGGGCACAGGGAGGGGTTCTCACTTGCCAACAGTGACAACTGGACTGGGGCCCTAATGCGACGAGCTGTGGGAGCAGTGCACAAGACACAGGTTTGAGGATCTTTCTTGGCTCCCAGGGGAATCACATCCTTGCTCCACCTCTGGGGCAACATGAGGACTGGGGAGCAGGGGAATCTGCCTCCTGAGCAAGGAGATGCTGCCAGCCTGTGAGGGGGAGGCATGGAAACCCCCCCGAGTGCATCTGCACAGCCTGTCCCAAAGGCAGAGGTCCCTTTGTCCCTGAGCTCCCAATGATTTCTCCCCTCCCGCCTGCTCTGCATCCCCCCTAGGCAGCATAACACCCACCCACCCTCTGTGGGCTGGAGGCAGAGGAGCAGGGTGTCTGCTGCAAAAATCCCTTTATTGGACAATGGGTAAAGCCAGGGATGGAGTGGAAGTGGCTGTGGGGGTGACACATCATCTCTGTCACAGCTTGGGGTAGGCTCTGTGTAGGGACAGTGAAGAGAGACACTAACCAGCTTTGCACTTGGTGCTCCCCAGGATGAGTTTGCTCAATCTGAGGTTGTTGGGAGGCCCCAAAGGGGAGGGAGGATGGCAGGCCAAGGATGTTTTATTCCAGGCCTGGCTGTAGTTGGCTGGCAGAGGGGGCACCAGGGGCTGGTTGGGCGATTCGCTGTGTTCCTGCAGAGCTGTTCTTGTCTCTTCCCCTTGTCCTTTTCTGACAAAGTGCATTTTTCAGGAGCAGGGCTGTGCTGGCCTTGAGCTTCCTGCTATGTTACCTCGAATTCAAACACTTTTGCTCTCTGTGTATTATTTCTTCACCAGTGAAGAACATCAGACCAAGAAGTTCCTGAGCCACTGGCTACTGAAACTAGTCCCTTGGGTGCCACCAGCCAGCTGGGGGGTGAGGCCTGGCCCCAGCTATCAGCACACAAGACCTTTGGACCAAGCCATGAGCTCTGGAGCCCAGGGTCAATGGGGAATTTCTCCCCACTCCTTCCTGCTGGCCAGGTCTCAGGTTTGGGGCACGGACAAAAGGCTGCCACAGAGTTGTGAGGTGAAGAGACAGGAGGTCAGTGGCCTGGGAAGAGATGGAACGTCCATCTGGTGGCATCTGCTGAGGGAATTTAGCAAAGCATTGTTGGACCTGGGGTGAGGGAGACAGCAGGGAGAAATGAGAGAACTTTGTTCCCTGCATGAGAAGGGTGCAGGGAGTCAGGAGGCATCCCAGGGGCATGTCCAGGGCCATGTGTCTGGTGCCATGGGCTGCACCAACATGCCAGGCTCGTGCATGCTCATAACATGTCAGGGTGCTGATGTCTCCAGAGACCCAGCTGACTTCCCAGGCCAACCCAGACCTGGTTTTGACTCAGCCTGCTCCCAAGGGGCCTGCTGAGAAATGGCTTGGCCTGGCCTGAGCTCTGCTCCCAGCAGGATTTCTGACCCTTGGCACAGCTGGTTAACCACAGAGCTCACCTTCAGGAAGAGCTCCTCTAAGTGGCTGTTACAGGCGTGGTTTGAAACTGCTCTGGCAGGCACTAGATGAAAATGGAGCCTGTTGATGACCCTGGGGGGTCCCTGTTCAGCCCTGCAAGGGACAGCCACCCCCAAAAGCCCTGTTGTCACAGCATAGGGGGGCTCAGAGCAGTGACACCAGAGACACCCAACTGCCCCTTGCTTTCCAGCGTTGGACACTCCCCGGGGCTGGGACCCATTCCAGCATCCCACTGGAGGTTCTGGGAGCCCCAGCATGTCTGGGAGCAGACGATGGCCCCTCATCACTCACCCAAGTCAGCAGCCAGGCCCAGCTGCTCAGCCAAGGTGCCATCCTGAGGCTGTCAGTGGAGCTGTGGCTGGGCCCTTGGAGCACGGTGTCAATGAGGAGCTGAGCCTATCCACGCACATCCTGCATTGATCCTGCACCTCTTCCACCCCACTGAGGCTCAGAACCCCTTGGGACAGCAGGTGGCCCAGCAGCCCAGAGGTCAGTGGGTTGTTCACATGCTCCACAGACTTTCCCCATGTTCTGGAGCAGCTTGTCTGCAGGGTGGCACCATCAGCCCCATGTCACAGCTCCAGCTGCCCCACCACCCCCTCCGGGTGCTTCCTCTTCCTCATCACCCCTCTACCTGCTCCCCTTTCCCCATCACCTCCCCTGGATGCTCCCCTTCCCCATCACCTCCTCTGGGTGCTCCCCCTGCCCCATTGCCAACCCAGGGTGCTGCTCCCTCCTTCATTTTCCAGCCCAGAGGTTTCCCCCGCCACCACCCACCTCCCCCTTTTGCCAGCCCAGAAAAATTGCACCAGGGAATGCATTTGCATGGACCCAGCAGCCGCCGGGAAGGGAGGAAGCTCCCAGCCCTCTCAGAGCCAGGCATGGGGCAGCTGCACTCACAGCTGGCAGCCCCAGTGCCAGGCAGGGATGGTTGTCCTGTGCCAAGGACCAACATCCCCTCGTGCACACCCCCCAAACCCTCCAGACCTGTCCGGGGCTGGGCTTGGCTCATCCCCTCCAGGGGCCACAGGGAGACACCACCTCGGGCAGCAGCACCTCATCCTGGAACAGCTGTCCAGGGAGGGCGTGGAGTCTCCTTCTCTGGAGACATTCCAAACCTTCCTGTGTCACCTGCTCCAGGTGACCCTGCCTTGGCAGCAGGGTTGAACTGAGTGATCTCCAGAGGTCTCTTCCAACCACATCCCTCCCATGACTCTGTGATGCACACAGGGGCCCAGCAGCCCTGTTTCCATCCCGCAGGAGGCTGGAATGTAAAACCTGGGCTGTGAGAAAGCCTGGGATTGCCCCAGAACTACATCAGTGGGGCAGGCTGAGCACAAGGCGAGACCTGGGTGGGAATGGCAGAAGTAACGCCAAGGACGGGGAAACCTAGGGACAGAGACACAGGCACATCCCCCCTGGGGGAGGCACATCCACCCTTGGGATGCACATCCACTCTTGGGAGCCACATCCACCCTGAGGAGGCACATCCAGCCTTGGGATGCACATCCAGCCCCTGGGATGCACATCCATCCTTGGAATGCACATCCAGCCTCGGGGATGCACATCCACCCTTGGGAGGCAGAGGGATGCAGCAGCTGACCGGGGCTGGATGCGGGCCGACAGAAAGGGGCGATAGAACGGTGAGGCCTCACGCTCCCTTGACCGTCCCGGTGGCTCCGCAGGCAGCGAGGCCCGGCCCTGAGCCAACCCTTCCCCCCTCCCCGCGCCATCCCGCCCCGGCCGGGGCACCGGAGGCGGCGCTGCCGTGAGGGGCTCGAGTCCCGGAGGTCCCTGATGCCCCAGGCCGGGGGTCCCTCGTGCCCGGGGGTCCCTCGGGCCGGTCCCGGTGAGGGCTGAGGGGGTCCCGGTCCCGGGCGGTCACGTGACGGGACACCCCGGCCCCCCTCGCCCGTTCCTGAGGGGAAGCGCCGCGCGGCCTCCCATTGGCCGCGGCGGGACGCGCTGTGATTTCTCATTGGCCGCCCGGCGCCGGGTCCCGCCCCCCCCGCGTGTCACGGGATAGGCCTGGCGGGAGCCGCGGGGGGCGTGGCCTGGCAGCCGGCGGCGCTGGGCGGGGACGCGTTCCGGGCGCTGATTGGCCGGGGGCGCCGGCGGTGCCAGGCGCTGATTGGTGGCGGCGCGCGCGCCGGCGGCGGGGGGGCCGGGCGGGAGCCGCACGCGGCAGAGGCGGGAGCGGCGCGGCCGGAGCCGGGCGGGACCCGCCGCGACGGGGCAGGTGAGACCGGGGGGCACCGGGGGCAGGGGGCACGGGGGGGCCGCCGGGAACCCCCTCCCGCCGCCCCGGCGCTGCCGCTCCTCCTCCCCGCCGCCCGGGCAGCGCGGCCTCCCCGGGGCCTGTCCGTGAGGGGCGGCACCGCCCGGCGGCGGCAGCGCTGAGGCGGCGGTCCCTCCGCCACACCGGGCGGGGGCGGGTTGGCCGCCACAGCCCTGCCCTGCACCGCTCCGGCCCTGCGGCGCTCGGGGCCTGGGCCCTTCCCTGGGCCGAGCCCGCGGGCCCCGCTCGCTCCCCCTCTCCCTGGAGCCGCGGAGATCCCGCCTGGAAGCGCCTGGAGGGTGGGAGGTTCTTGTGCCGCCGGGGAGCTGATTCTTGTTCGCACCCGGTTACCCCCCAGAGGTCACTCGGGGTTGGGTTTTTGGAGCAGGTGCCTCCCCTCCGTGCTGGGCAGGAGCTGGTTCTGGCTGTAGTTTGGTGGTGTTGCAGGTTGGACGTTTATTTCGAACCCCCTCAGCTACCGCTGTGTTGTCAACATTGACTTCCCGAAAGCGTCTGCAACGATGCCTTTGGGTTTTCCTGCTGAATTAACCGAAGGGGGATGAACTCAAAATAGTCCGTGTTAAATTGGGGGTTCCTAGGACGTTACTGAGGACAGTATGTCAACAGTCTCATAAGGGTCCTGCTGGTGATTTTGGCAGTGACCTGAAGGAATTTTGCAGCTAAAAAGCTGAGGAAGTGCATGGGAAGCTCAGGGTGCTGCGTGGAAAATGGGAAATGGAGATCCAACACAAGGGGTCTGGTTAGTTTGGCACTGGACTTTGGGGAGGCCACATGTGTTTTACCAGAGAAAACAAACTATTCTGGAAGAGTCTGTAATGGGGATGGAGAGACAAGGGAGAGAGGAGTGGTGTCTGTCCTAGGAAGCAGGAATTTTTGCCTGAGATTATGGATATATTGAATGCAGAAAGCCAGGCTGGAGGTGGGCTTTGGACCCTCACTGTAAAGGAGGAGGAGGAGGAGAGGGAGCATTAGATCAGCTCCAACATTGGTGCAAACACTGCTGCCCCTGGGTTTGGTGCCTGTGTGTGGTTCAGAGCTGGTGGAAAACTGTGCAGAGTTCAGAGATGTTGCGATTAAAGGTGAAAAAAGCTGCCATGTGGTGCTGAGAACTCCATCTGCTTCCTCCAGCAAGAACTTGAGAGGATATCTGGCCAGTCTGCATGTGGAGGACAGAGGCTGGACACTGGGAATTCAGTCTGGCTGGGGGTGGTACGTGTGCATGCAAACCAAAATGTATGTTTTTAAGTGATGGAGCTTCAAGCATGAGAACAAACTTCCCAGAGTCAGTGATGACTTTGTATGGGTTGCCAGCTTTTACATGGAGTCTCCATATTTTCTTTTTTTTAATAAAAGCAGCTGGGCTGGCAGCCCCGGGAGTCCTGGGGTCTGCTCTGCTTGGGGGGTCTGTAAGGTAGCTCTGATGTCTTTCAGGGAGTTTGCTGGAGGATGGATTTCTAAGTCAACTGGGATGAAGACTGGGAAATAAATTGAAAAGTTTCACTTATTAATTTCTAGGAACATCTGAGTTCCCCTTTCCTTTGCTGTGTTTGTAGGAATCTTTCTCTGGCTGTGACAGTTATTTAATGCATCTGAGAGAGCCTGAACAGGGACATTTCCTCAGAGGTATGGTTGCTGTGGGTTTTGTGGCAGGGTCCTTCCAGCCCTTCTGTCTCAACAACAGTGTCACTTACCTGTCAGGTTAGGCTGTAAGAAGCTAAAAGGAAGGAAAAAACCCCAAAAATCCAAATCAAGGGAAGCTTTAGGGGTAGGTCTTGCTTTGGAGGAGGCTGCTCTGCCAGCTTTTATTGTGATCTCAATCTGCCAAATATGCACTGGCCTGCTTTTGTTTTTTGTTTACGTGGGGCTTCTCAAAGTCTCCCTTGTCCCGGCGGGAGCGCAGGGAATGATGTGAGCAGCCCTTCCCTATCCTGGTCCCTACATCTCACTGAGCTTTGCTCTCCTGGAGGCAGGTACCAGGCCTGCGTGGCTCTTGGCCACCCAGTTTGGGAGGATTGCTCCAGGAATTGGGCCTTCTCCTCTAAGAGATCTGTGCCGTTTGAGATGGAGCTATTTCCACTCCTCCTCTCTCTCCTCTGTTTTAGAGGCTGCTGTCAGCTGAGGGAGAGGCTTGTTCTCAGTAATACCTTGATAAGTGAAGAAAAAGGAGGTTAGAGAGAGCTGGGATTGTTTCTGGGGTTGCACTGAGTGTGTGCAGTGGTGTTGGAGATGACTGAGCATTGTTTCACAGCAGAATCCAGCAGTGTCATCTAACCCAGATTATTTCCATCAGGGAGAAATGTTAACAGGAACAGTAAAATCAGTGCTTGCACATCACACTCAATTCCCAGGACAGGCATGTTCCCCCAGGAATTAATAACGAGCAAGCAATTATGAAAGCTCATACCTTTCTTTTCCACCTTCCAAGGCAGCTCCATCCACGTGTTCCTGGATTTCCAGCAGGCTCTTAACGTGAGACTCTTACTGCTCTTTGCAGAACTAGATCAGGGCCCTTTTTAGATAATGATGAATGGAGACCAGAGCTATTTAAAAAATTACTTTGCTCTTAGCAAATTAGCGTAACAGATTAATCCCTGCTCGTAATCCCTGGCCCGTTCTCCAGGAGGATGGCACGGAGGAGCGGGGAGGAATTTTGTCTGGTCACTCCCCGCTGCTGTAATTGCTTCCCTTCTGTTCTTCCCCGGCACTCCCGCAGTTCCCTGAGCTCCCAACAGCCCCAAAGGATAGGATTTCCCCTCGGAGGGATCAGATGATTAGCTTATAAATAGCAAATGCCTGCTCAGGCCCTGCTTTCCAGGGGGGTTGGTTCCTGTCTGGTACAGCCTCACCCGCACCTCGCAGCCCGGAGCCGAATCCAAGGGAATGGGGATGCTTTCCATGAGGGATGGGGAATTTCTGCACGGAAGGAAACCGAGGTGCTTCAGCTTTGCAGCCAGAGCCTCAGAGGTCGGGATGGATTGGAAGGCTCTGGCAGCAGCAGTGCACCGTCGTGCTGGGTTCGCTGGAATAGCGCCTGGTTTCTTGCCTGCGCGGGGAAATCGGCTCTTTTCCCTGGGAATGGGAGCTGAAATGGAACTGAGGGGTTGAATCCTGCTTGAAATGAGCCCGTTTTCCTGCCAGAGAGCCTGTGCTGCTGCTGGGGAGCCATTGTCTCAAGGCCTGAGCTCTTTGGGCTGCACCTCACCCCTCTTCCCTTCCCTGCCATCTCTTTCCCTCCAACTTTCCTGCATTTACCTCTGGTCTGGCCAGTCTTGTGCTGCCGAGGGTCTGACACACG